CTCACAGGACTCCACAGCTTAGAGGGAGCCTTGGTTGCCAGTTGTGGGGTGAGCGATACCTAGAGATTTGGAGGGTGGAGCCTGGGGAGGGTGGGGCTTGGGAGACGAGGGACCTCAGTGGGGTATAATATCATAGAGTCCATCCTCCAGAGCAGCCATTTCCTCCAGGGGGACTGGTCTCTGTAGTCCGGAGGTCAGTTGTGACAATGGGAGACCTACAGGCCCCACCTGGAGGTTGGCAACCCTTGAAGTGTGCTTGATTGGCCACCAGTGGCATAGAAATGACCATCCTGAAGGAAGGAGACCCATGAATGGCATATGCATGATCGTTTCTCTTTTGGTGTAGTGGTTAGGAGTGCGGACTCTAATCTGGGAGAACCGGGGCTGATTCCCCACGCCTCCGCTTGCAGCAGCTGGTGTGACCTTGGGTCAGTCACAGTTCTCTCAGAGCTGTTCTCTGAAGAGCAGTTCTGGAGAGAGCTCTCTCAGGCCCACCTACCTCACAGGGTGTCTGTTGTGTGGAGGGGAAGGGAAAGGAGTTCATAAGCCGCTCTGAGACTCGTTCTGGTAGTTAAGGGTGGGGTATAAATTGAATCTCCTCCTCCACCTCCTCCTCTTCCTCCTCTTCCTCCTCCTCCTCCTCATTCTCCTCCTCCTCGTTCTCCTCCTCCTCCTCCTCCTCCTCCTCTTCTTCCTCCTCCTCCCTTTTAAGAAATGACACAGACTTTTTTTAAAAAACTCAGAAAAGCTTGAAAGACATATTTTATTTTTGAAAGAGAGCTCAGTCAGCACTATTTTTCAGTGGCAGGAGGATGGGCAGATTCCGGGGCTTTTCTGGAAGTGGCCTGTGATTCCCCTGGAAACGTTCGCATTCCTGAAGGCCAGAGGCTGGCTATATAAAGAAAAATGGGAATAAGCCATCCTGGAGGCCAAAACAGCAGTGCACACAGGCATACACCCGCCTGCGCAAAAACAACCTACACTGTAATGTAGCATTTGTATAAACTTTTGTAGACTAGAGCCTCCTCCATCAGGTGGCTGAAGTGGCCCAGTTTTGTGTCTGTAAAATGCTGTCAGATCACAGCTGACTTATAGTGACCTCATAGGACGTTCAAGGCAAGTGAGAAGCAGAGGTGGCTTGCCATTGCCTTCCTCTGCAGAGTCTTCCTTGGTGGTCTCCCATCCAAGTACCTATCCTGCTTAGCTTCTGAGTTCTGAGAAGCAGAGGGGGTTTGCCATTGCCTTCCTCTGCAGAGCCTTCCTTGGTGGTCTCCCATCCAAGTACCAACCCTGCTTAGCTTCTGAGATCTGAGAAGCAGAGGGGGTTTGCCATTGCCTTCCTCTGCAGAGTCTTCCTTGGTGGTCCCCCATCCAAGTACCAATCCTGCTTAGCTTCTGAGATCTGAGAAGGAGAGGTGGTTTGCCATTGCCTTCCTCTGCAGAGTCTTCCTTGGCGGTCTCCCATCCAAGTACCTATCCTGCTTAGCTTCCGAGATCTGAGAAGCCGAGGTGGTTTACCCTTGTCTTCCTTGGCGGACCCCCATCCAAGTACAGACCCTGCTAAGCTTCCAAGATCTGACAAGATCAGGCTACACTATACCATTCCACATCCCAATGGACCAGTTAGCAAGTGCTTATGAATAAACATGGGGAATTAAACTGTGGAGAGGGGGGCTGTGGCTCAGTGGAAAAGCCTCTGCTTGGCACAAAGAAGGTCCCAGGTTAAGTTCCAGGTGTTTACAGTTAAAAGATCTGGCAGTAGGTGACTTGAAAGACCTCTGACCCTGGAGAACTGTACCAGTCAAGGGCCTTTTCTGCGCCTGTATTTTGCCTTAGTCTCTGAGCGCATCCTGTTCTTCCATTCTGCATTCCCTTCCACTGTCACTTTCACTTTTTTGGGGGGGGGGGCTTTCTCTTGTTTTTGCATTTGTTTACAGGAATCTGCATTCAGACCGCTTCCAGCACGCTGTTGCCCCGCAGCTACCAAAACTCCTTTTGCAGAGATTCTTTGTTCTCATCCGCTTTCAAATTTGCTAGTCCTCTCTAAAGTAGAATTGTTTCTGCGGGTATTTAAGTACAGCCCAATTCCCTCCCCCCCATTTCCGCCTCTCTCTCTTTAGGACTAGAAGATTTCCTGCTCCCGAATGTGTCAGTCTTACATGTGTGGGCCTGGATTCCCCTGTCCCTTCCCTTTCTTTTTGCAGAATCAGAGGGAGGGAGGGGTTGGCAGCCAGTGATCTCAAAAAATGCAGGGTTTGCTTGTCGCTACAGAATACATACAGAGTAGACAAATAAATAAACCGGAGGGGGAAAAAAACCAGTGCAGAGGGGATGCGTGGGACTGTTGAAGTCAACCCTTGGCTTGACTCCTCAAATTGTCCAGAGCAAGCTGTCAGTGCAGCAGGGGCCTAAGTCAACAGTGCTGACCATGACGGACCCAGGGTCTGATTCAGTATAAGGCAGTTTCATGTGTTCAACTGAATTTTCTGCTAAAACGGGATTGAGTTTGCTGCATACTGCCAATGTGTTTTATAACTGTGGCTGTCAGATTCCGTCTCCCTTTGCATTTATCAGGCCCATAGCTACAGTGGGGGGGGGGGCCTCTCGGGGCTAGGCCCCCTGACTTACGGGCAAGGCCCCACAACTTCCCATTCCGCGCAGGGCCCCTGAACGGCAGCAGGTGTGGGGAAGGAGTCAGGTATTCCTTTAATTCAATTAGCCAGTGCCACCAGGCTTTCAACTAGGAGCCCCCCCCCAACCACCAACGAGCCGGCCCGTAGTACTAACATCTGGCCACTAGCACTGTCCTCTGGAAGATCATTGAGCGAAACTGTCTGTATGGTAATTTCAGCACGTCATCTTATGCATTCAATGTATTAGCACTAGCACTTTATGAGGTCTTGTTTTATTTTATTGTATTGACTTTTAAATTGTTTTTATGTGAATGTGCGGTCATCTATAGACCAATTATGTAAGCTGCCCTGAGCCCGCTGCAGGGTAGGGCGGGGTATAAATTTAATAAATAACAACAACAACAACAACAGTAATAATAATAATAACAATAATAATAATAATAATAATAATAATAATAATAATAATAATAATAATAATAATAATAATAATAATAATAATAATAATAATAAAAATGTCCCCTGACTTTAAAAATCCTGGTTACGGGCCTGGCATTTATTAGTTATAGAACAGGCATGTCCAACTTCAAACAGGTAGTGATCTATTTTTTCCAGCCAAAAGTGCTGGTGATCTACCACCATGAAAATAAAGTTTCAAATTAGTTTCAAATTAGTTTTTAATCCAACAAAAGTTGGGTTCCACCGGCCCCCCCCCCATTTATAATGCACCTTCTGTCATTTACTGGTAAGCAAAATAAGCAAAAACAAAAAATCCAGAAAGAACTGCGAACGTTTTTTATTTTTTTATTGAGTTATAACTTTCTTTAACCATCTCAAGAACTTTCTTTAACTTTTATTCAGAGTTAATTGTGTTAAATGTAGGTCAAGTATTGATCCAGGCTGATCTTGCGCAATCTTTAAAACTTCGCTCTTGCTCATTAGTGAGACCATTAGTGAGACCAAGTGGGGCTGGTGATCTACCTCTGACCCCTCTGCGATCGTCTGGTAGATCGCGATTCTACATTCTGTTTCGTAAGAGTTACAGGCTGTTCCAAAGAACTGGGGAGGGGGGTGAATCTACTACACTTACTAGATGCTTTTCAGTGTAAACAAGCTGATTGGCTCTCTTCAAGATTTACAATGACTTCAAACTGTGCCCGGAGCAAACCCACCTCCTACCCTGGAATTATTTGCTCTGTGCCCGGATCGGTGTGGGGAGTGGGTGCTGCTGGAGAGACCTTGTTGTTTACACCAGCGTTTCCCAACTGGTGGGTCCCTCCTGGCTCCAAATGGGGTCATGAAGCTTTTGCGAGTGGGCCCCATGCTTCTCCGGTTTTATTAATTTGTGCATGCTTGTTTGGTTTGGTGTAGTCGTTAAGCTGGTTTGGTGTAGTCGTTAAGCTGGTTTGGTGTAGTAGTTAAGAGCACAGACTCTAATCTGGGAAAACCGGGTTTGATTCCCCACTCCTCCACATGCAGCTGCTAGTGTGACCTTGAGTAAGTGACAAGTCCTTTCAGAGGTTTTCTCTCAAGGGCAGTTCTCAAAAGAGCTCTCTCAGCCCGACCTACCTCACGGGTGTCTGTTTTGGGGAGGGGAAGGGAAAGGAGATTGTAAGCTGCTCTGAGACTCCTTCGGGTAGTGAAGGGCGGGGTATAAATCCAGTCCCTTCTCTCCGGCTTCTCTCTCTGTGTTTGTTTGTTTGAGTCACCAAATTTGGACTTGTGAGTCTCCGTACCAAAAACGTTGGGTCCCACTGCTTTATACCTCTACCGTCTCCACCACCACACCAGCGAGTGAAGGTTCTTTATCATGTCCCTGATGAGTTGCCATCAAGTGTAGGGTGGGAGGATAGCTTGCTTTTGGGAGAACTCCACCTCTCCCACGTGGAGCTTGGCAACTCCATCTGAAGGTTAGCAGTCTGGAGTCCCAGTTGTGTACAGAAATTTTCCCAGCGGCCCTTTTGGCTTAATGAACAGCGGAAACCATTGATTGGTTCTGTAACAGGCTGCCTAGAGAGGGGACTGAAACTTCCAAGAAGTTTGCAAGCATATTCTCTTGCGCTTGAGGGAGGTGAGGACTTGGACAACCATGGATTCTGTGTGCTCAGAACTCAGTTCTCCAAGCATGGCAAGGAATGAAGGGGTGCCCTGTGATTGGTCGTTAGTAAGAACCTTCTGGATTGGCCATAAATGTCAGGTGCTTGGCTTTCCGCCTCGGCCTGATCAACAGAGCAGTGTGTTTTGCTCGGCGGTGACATCGGTGTTAAGGAAACGTTGTCATTTTGTGGGAAAGTGAACGAAAAACAGGTTTTGAAACAGCGAGGAGTGGCTGAGGATATTGACACCTGTTTTCTTTCTTTTCAGCCCCCGCTGGTCCAAGCAATTTTCAACGGGGATCCAGACGAGATCCGCATGTTAATCTACAAAACAGAGGATGTTAACGCTCTGGTAAGCGAGTGTGTGTAATTCTTTTTCCAGCCTCCTCTCCTGGAATGTGATTCATGTGCCGGAGGAGAGGTGTTGCAGAATTTAGGGGGGAAATGCTCTAATAAAATCACAGCAGTATGGAATACGTACAGCCCTGACTGGGGCTAATAAATGCAAATCAGGTAATTCTAATGCATTTGGACTAGATCCTGGCTCTAGTAAGACTCCTGTGGTGTTCTTATAGTCTGAGCTGCTAAGAGACACCCCCCAGAGTCAATCCACACAACCAGCCCCAACCCCGATCAGACTTGATTGTACTTAACTATAATCATATATATATATACTGACATACAGGGCTCTTTTTGTAGAAAAAGCCCAGCAGGGACTCATTAGCATATTGGGCCACACCCGACAGCACAGCTCATTCGCGTAATTAGGCCGCACCCCCATGTTACCAGAAGTGTGGTCATCCAGCCACACCCACCTTTTGCTTGTTATTCTGTTTACCTTGTTTGTTGTCCAAACCCAGGGCTTTTTTTGTAGCGGGAACGCCTTTGCATGTTAGGCCACACACCCCTAATGTAGCCAATGCTAATGAGTTTCTGCTGTTGGGTGTGACCTATTATGCTAATGAGTTCCTGCTGGGCGTGGCCAACTCAGGAGCCAGCCGGAACTCCGTTCCTGTGCGTCCCTGCCCAAAAATAGCCCTGCTGACATAAGGAGAAACTAAGGAAAGAAAAATTCTCAGTTGTAGTCTGGGTCTGATTATTTGGTATACTGGTATGCGCCTACGTAGCTGTTTTCTGTGGATTATATTTGAAGTTTATTGAGAGTATCTGCTGGTAAACAGGGTAGAAAGGCCAGATTTGTGGTGTCTATGAAGCATTTCTGTGTGGAGCACAGGTGACAGGTGACTTAAAAGCGGACTGATTCAGGCGGGGTCGCCGTGTTGGTCTGAAGCAATAGAACAAAATCTGAGCCCAGTGGGACCTTTAAGACTAACACAGTTTAATTCTGGGTATAAGCTGTTGCACGCGAAAGCTTATACCCTGAGTTAAATTTTGTTGGTCTTAAAGGTGCCACTGGACTCAGACTTTGTTCAAAAGAGGACTGTCCTGTAAGAAACAGGACGGATGTTCATAAGAACATAAGAGAAGCCAATGTTGGATCAGGCCAGTGGCCCATCTAGTCCAATACTCTGTGTCTCACACAGTGGCCAAAAATACCAGGTGCCCTCAGGAACTGTAATCCTAATGAAACCGCTGTAGGAGGCTTAAGATCTCAAACGGCTGCTTTATTTCCAGCTCTAAAACCTTTTTTTTGTTGTTGATGGGTACGCATTGTATGTTAACCAGTCAACTGCTGATAAAAATTTTATAAACATTCCTCAGATTGAAACAGGACACTATGAGATAGTTACAGAATCAGAAAGCCTTCCATTCAGGAGAAAAAGGCACTTAGAAATTTAGGATTAAAAACACACAGAGAGACATTCTAAGTGAATGCTCCATCTTAGCAGTATAGACATTGGGTTGGATCCTACGGAAAGCTATCAGGAGGATTTCAGTGGGTGGAGTGTGACTGTCTTGCCTCCCCTGTCTCTCTGTAGGGCCCCCCCCCCAAGCCTTCCCCCTGCTAAACTTTACCCAGAACATACTTTTTGGCATCCAAGCCATTGCAGTCTGATATTTTGGGGCTCACTTGCATTTTAAACATCATACAGAATATGCTTGGGGCGGGGGCTCTTCTGGCCCCAGTGCACTTTCTCTGCAGATTGGGGGGGGGACACACCAAAAAATGTAGAAATATTAAAGGCGTGTTTAAATCAGTAGCAAATGTGTGATGCTTTAAGGTTGACAATTTTGTAAAAGCAAAAGCATTTTGAAACAATAGAAAAGAGCAAGAGCCCGGTAGCACCTTAACGACTAACAAAATTTGTGGCGGGGGAGGAGCTTTCGTAAGTCACGGCTCACTTCAGATACTGGACTCTGGCTGTTTTCTAACCTCTGAAGGAGGGAGCCAGTGACTCCCAAAAGCTCCCTCCCCTGCCACAAATTTTGGTAGTCTTTTAAGGTGCTCCTGGACTCTGGCTCTTTTTTACTGCTGCAGATGGACTAACACGGCAACCCATCTATTTTAAAATAGATTTTCCCCAAATCTAGTTGGATTGCACCGCCCCCTAGATCGGGGGGTCCCCAACCTTTTTTGAGCCTATGGGCACCTTTGGAATTCTGATGCAGCGTGGTGGGGGCGGCCACAAAAATGGCTGCCACAAAATGGCTGCCACAGGAGGTGGAGCCAGCCACAAAAGGATTGCCAAGTCTTAGCTTCAGCCACCCAATGAAGATCCCCGTGCTGTGGTGGCAGCGGCTGCCAAGGCAACATTTAAAAACGCACAGCCAGTCAGAAACCGTGCTGGGCAAAAGCCCTATCTGGCCCCGCCCACAGGCACCATGTTGTGGACCCCGGCTCTAGATGGATTCCCTGTGGCACATTTCAGAATGATAGAATGCATTGCTTTTTATGACGAACAAGTAGGGTTTTTAAATTTCTTACTAAACATACGAAGAGGTGAAACGCGCACGCAATAGGCGTTGTTAGGTCTTTATCCTTGAATAATTGCTCGTTGGATTGCTTGGATGTGTCAAAGTGGAAGAACCCTTATTTAGGAAGCCAGGGTCCCAGTTTTTGTCTGTGCCACACCAGTGCATCTCCACGACTCTTTGCCAAGCCTCTCCAATAATCCTACGGTTGTACCACCTTGCTTGCCACTAGGGTTACCAGCTTGAGGGTGGCAACTGGAGGGGGGGGCCAACCTGTGGGGGGGCTCTCTTGCCGGTGATGTCACCAGTGACATGACGGCACCACTCTCTGGTGCGACACACTTCCATGTCAGGGGCCTGCCTACCTGAGGGACCGACTTTCCCCACATGTTCCCCAGAGAGCACTGCGGTCAGGATCCCAAAACCGTTTGGCCCTTCCGGGCCCCAAAGACGTCAGGCTGGCATCAGCTAGAGCCAGGGCCTTTTCAGTGGCAGCTCCGTGCTGGTGGAACGAGCTCCCGGAAGACCTCAGGGCCCTGCGGGACCTTTTACAGTTCCGCAGGGCCTGCAAGACGGAGCTCTTCCACCGGGCCTTTAGTTAAGGAGCCGCACCCAACGCACTAAGGCCCTGTGCCCAATACCACCACCGACAGCCTGAGCTTCGCTGCTTCTAACATCAAATCCCGACTACATTTACTAGAATGTTCATGCTACTCTGCTTTCACCATTGACATTTAAATTGTTTACTAGCATCTTATGTTGTGTTTTTAAGCTTTTACCTATATTGTTTTAGCTAAGGCATTTTATGTAAGCCACCCTGAGCCTGCTTCAGCGGGGAGGGCAGGGTATAAATCAAATAAATAAATAAAATTATTCCCTACATTAAGCCCTCCTCAGATATTAGAAAAATGTGCAAATTCAAGACAACTTTGGGAAAGGTTTAATGTTTTTTAAAAGTCAAGTGCAACAACTCAAGTATTCATGGAACTCAGGCCCTGGAACCTGGAAATTCTGCCCCTAATTCAAGATCTGTGAAGGCAGGTTGTAGTTATTAAGGTGGACCCAGCTATTCTGCTCATCTGAATATCTGAAAATCTGAAGCCTTCTTCCAACTTCAGCAGCTCTTCTGATGGATCCAGTTAAGGGGAAGGCTTCAGGCTTTGCTGAGCAAAATGGCTGGATCCACCTCACTGGTATTCAGGAGTGAAAGACTGCACTCTGCACATGTGCAGAGGCACTCTTAATATTTAGTGCTTTACAACCCAGTCCTATGCATGTTTACTCAAAATAAGTCCTGCTGTATTATGCAAAGGTCCACAGGACTGCAACCTTTTGAGTGTTCACATGCATGAACTCAGCATAATGAACCTGGAAGATTATGATGAACCTTTCAACCATTATTATCCCCAGTGTACATGAGCAGGACTGAAGCTGAAGACAGCAGCTTATCTAGGGCCACACGGTTCAGTTCATAACAGGTGATATATGAACCAGACATTCCTGACTCACTCGGCTATCCACTGTGCTACCACCAGTTCTCATCTTGTCTCTGTTATGGCTCGGCACATTCCAAGGATGAGCATCACGGCCAACCCTGGCAGCTTCCTGGCACACACACATGGAGGGAGGCATTAAAAAATGCACATCTTTCAAGCTTCACAGTAGTGTAAAGTCTCCAGAATCTGGCTGGCGGGCATCTCCATGGTCAGTGCGCACAGCTACCAGATATACTGCTTTGTATCTTTCCAAGTACCATCAGTTCCAATGAAATCTGTTAGTGCAGGGGAAACTGCCCACTCCACATGGAGAGCCATCACACACCAGCATATGGAGGCCTCCACCTTGTGGCTGTGATATATGTGCCTGCTCTAAAACTATCCAGAAATTACCACGATGCGCATCTTTTATTTTCATTTCTTCTTAAGAATGTGAAAATGTACTTTCAATGCACTTTGCAACTGGATTTTACTGTGTGAAATGGCAAGATCCACTTGCAAATGGTTGCTGAAGTGGATTGAAACTGCATTATTTAGCATGTGTGACAGCGCCCTGGAGTCTCTTACATGGTACAAAGCACTTTACAGATATTATCTCATCATTTTTACAGCTTTGCCACAAAACACACCAATATTATCATCCCCATTGTAGCACAAGAGTGGCTGTGAGATAGTTGCTTGTTGAAGGCCACCTAGTGACCAACACAAAAGTGGGACTTCTACACGGCGGGGACATACTTTTGGCCACACCTTTTCTATGTTCAGTCCCCTTTACAGTGGTCAACAGAAAGCTTGTCCTTCAACAGTGCAGTGGACCAATTGCAGATACATGGATCTCACCCAGTTGGCTTCCAAGCATGCTGGAATTCATTCAGCAGTCTGGATCCAATGGGTGAGAGCCAACTTCACAATGCTTGTCAGAAAAGTAACTCCAGTGTTCCCTCTAAGCTGAGTGAGTGTGAGCCAGCTCACAGTTTTTTAGCCCCCGGCTCACACATTCTTGTCTCAGCTCAGGAAGGAGGGCTCCAGAGCAAGCTAATTTGTGCAGTAGCCGAATCTCTTGCTCACAACTTTGATGCCAGCAGCTCACAAAGTAGCATTTTTGCTCACAAGACTCCACAGTTTAGAGGGAACATTGCCTTCCACCACTGTCCAATGTAGCTCTTTTGGCCGGGATGTATATATGAAGTTGAGTCCTGCCGAAATGAGAGACTTGCATCCACTTTTTCTCCCTGCCACTTAGTTCGTCTGTAGTTCAGTAGCGATTTTTGCATAACTCATCATTAGTGCAAATTGGTCTCTGGCAGAAACTTCCTGGCTGCTGCAGCCCTTAAGAGGACATTAAGTGTAATTTAAAGCCGCATCCAGCACTGGGTTTACACTTTGCTGAAACAAAATAAAAGTCTCTGTCAAGGCAATGAGAATTCTTTGCGGTGGAATACTGTGCCATGCACATTTTATATTAATTAATATGTTGTCGAAGGCTTTCAAGGCTAGAGTTCGTTAGCAGTTGTAGATTTTCCGGGCCATACAGTCCGGAAAATCTACAACAACTAATTTATATTAATTATTTACATTGCTTATGGCCCTCCTTTCTCCCTTGGACTCAAGGCGGATTAGGCAGTGTGAGTCGAGTCGATACAGTCGACAGGATGGGACAGTCGATGAACCACGAAATAGGAATTAGGGCTGTAGAACCAACCAGAAGTCTAAAAACAAAACTGAAGCCAAGTGTAAGTATTAACATGATGAATGGGATGGAGCACCTTCCCTATAAAGAAAGGGTGAAGAGGTTAGGGGTCGTTAGCTTGGAGAAATGACAACTAAGGGGTAACACGATGGAGGTTTACAAAATTATGCATGGGATAGGGACGGTAGAGAAAGAAGGACTTCCTCCCTTTCTCACAATACAAGAACTCGTGGGCACTCCATGAAATCAATGAGCAGTAGGCTTAGAACAGACCAAGGAAGTCCTTCTTCACCCAAAGAGTGCTAAACACGTGGAATTCACTGCCACGGGAAGTGGCGATGGCTACAAGCATAGACAGCTTAAAGAGGGGAGTGGATAAATATATGGAGCAGAGGTCCATCAGTGGCTCTTAGCCACTAGATAGAACACTCTGTCTGAGGCAGTGGTGCTCTGTATTCTTGGTGCTTGGGGGGGCAACAGTGGGGGGGCTTCCGAGATAGTCCTCACCGGAGCCAGGACCCACGACAGTTGGGCAGAATGGAGCTGTTGCCTGTTTGCCATTTCAGGATCCTTTTTGAGAACACGAGTACAACCAAGAAAGGGGAGAAAAACACAACCGTGCATGAGAAAGGCAACTAAAAAGGTTGGAGCAAAGAGAAAGAAAGAAAAATATAACTATGCTTGTAGTACAAATGTACAAAACATCAGCATATAATTTATTAATGCAATCAGAAGGGCTAAAATATAATTTAAAAACAACAGTCCTGTGGTTCAGCATATAAGTACCTAATCCCACTATAAAGACAAATGTCCATTTACATAAATACAGGTTTAAGTGTACATATCGTCTCCATATGCAAGAACCAATACCAAGCATGATTCTACCCCTGGCCTTCCTCAGTGACATACAGAAAACTGACCATGCACAGAATGGATATTCCTCAAACTGACGTTTCGTATAGGGCTGCCAAGTGGGGGTGGGTAAACCCCCGCTTTGGAGGCCCGATTTCCGCCCGCCACGGAATCGGGCCCCGGGGGGAACTCCGCCCCCCGAAGCGCAGCGTGGCTGCGTCACCAGAGGTGACGCAACACATTGATCACGTTGGGGGCGTGGCCCCAATCGTCGGAGGGAAAACTCTATGGTTTTCCCTCCGACGATCGGGGCCACGCCCTCAATGTGTCGACGTCGCGCGTCACTTCCGGTGATGTCCTGGTGGCGCGCGCGCGCTTTGCACTCGCGTGCACACGTCCACCAACAGCTCCCGGAGCCCGGCAAGGCTCCCCCGCTGCCAAGGTAAATAGACTTGGCAACCCTAGTTTCGTACATTTGTGCTACGTGCATCGTTCTGTTTTACTTTCTTTTGGCTACCTTCCATTTTGGAGAACAACCTATAGGCCCAGATCTCAAGATCTTGCAGGGAGCTCTCACAGAGGCGAGTTGCCGGAGCGCCCGTGTAAGACGAAAACTTACCTTCGCCCTGAGAACCGGTGGCGTGTGTGCAATCTCTTCCTGATCTCAGCCCATCTCAGCTGGCAGCTGCTTTGTTCCATTGTCAGCATTAGACAATAGCTTGGGGCGCGGATGTTCTAGCATTTGCGCTTCCATCCCTACCGCTTCATAAGCAGTTCTTTCTCTTCTGCCGGCGGCCCTTTTCTTCCTAATTAAACGTGTCCTATCACAATTAAGTCTAGGTGGAACACAGGTGGAGAGTGAGATGTAGATAATTGCAAAGATGTTTTTGGCAAGCGCTCGAAATTTTGGCATCCCTGTGAATTTCATACTTGAAATGCCATAAATCACATCT